TCTCTCTCTCTCTCTCTCTCTCTCTCTCTCTCTCTCTCTCTCTCTTTCTCGATTTGCTTGAGTTTCATAACATGCGTTATGCGCATCTCTCTATCACAATCGCTCTCTTGAACTTTCAAGAGTTGACGGACAATACTTGAAGTATGACGTTATATGTAGAATAAACTAGAGTAAAGTAAAGCGAAGTGTACAAATACAAATACTCAGTACGACAATAGACATCGTTTATTAAGTGGAGCTCTAATCAAAAATTCGCTAGAGCCTCGTTTCACCAACGTTCAACGAATCCGACAACTCCAACCGGTCGGTATTTCCGCTCTTTTTTTTTCCTTATTAGATTCTTTCGTAGAGTTCAAGTCGTGAGAAAAAATATTTAGAGTAAAAAGTTTATTGTTCAAAAATCTCCTTAGTGTGCGAGAGATTGATTCTCCGTGAAGAAAATTTTGCTGTATTTTTGTAAAAAACTTGTCAAGTGCGCTGGATTTTTTTTGGTCTAAGCTGGATCGTTGACGAAACTGGCCGTAGGATTCTATATAAAGATTTCTTAAGTACAACACGCACACCCGATTAAAAAATATATTGTTATTCATGTGAAATTTCAGAGATCTATCGATAGTTTTGCCGTCTATTCGACACTTAACTCGGATAATCCGTGCCGATATACTGATATCGTTAGGTCTGCGCTACAATTCGGGATTATGCGAGTGGATTTTTCAATAAACTTTATTCCTAGCTTCTCGCAGGTGTCTCAACATTACACACGTTCTACTTCATTCTTCCGCGGATTCTCATAAACTCTCATCCAGTCTCGAGGTCGGACCGATATTGCAAAATTTCAGCTCTTGGCTATCGCCGTTTACGTTACATCGCTCGGCGAATGTCGCCTTACCGTTCGTTAGACCGTTCTGGGCGCCATTCATGCTCTTGTTGCCGATCGTTTGCTGGCCATTCACGGCCGGACCCAACGCGACGCTGGCTTTGCTGTCGAGCCCGTTGCTTTGTTTCTCAGCTATTAGACCCTTTGAAATCGAAATATTGAAACCTGTACTCTCTGGGGATTGCATTGCAGCTGCAAAATAGAATATCGAACATTATTCTGATACAATGAGTTTCCGCGATCAATGGTTTCAGAGGCCATTGTTATTATTGATTGGAATATACGAATTGCAAATGATTCGGAATTTTAAACTTAAAGTCGAGTCACCGCTCAGACTTTTCAGTTACTTTTCCGGTTACAAGGGTCATATTAATGTAACAAAATGCAGACAGTTAAGGAACTTTAATAATCTGTGGCAGTACCGTTTAAATTATGGCAGTATTTATTAGTGCTGTTCCACTCCTCGCGCAAACTCAAATTGAACATGCTGTAGTCCGGGTTGCCGGTAACCTCCTTCTCGATTATCAGAAACTGCGGCAGGATGTTCTTCAGCTCGTTGCCAGTCAACGCCGTATACGTCTCGAGCAGCATCAAGCCGTGACATCTGCAAGGCGCGCGCCGTACGCGTCATTCAGAATGGCACGGTCAATTTACACGTCTCTCCCCTCCCCCCCTCCCCCTCTATTCCCCTTATTTGATAACGTTACCTGGGATGCGCCGGTTCTCTATAAATATCTAACTGGAAATACTGATTGTTGATGAGAAAGCACCGACGACGTTTGAAGATGGTGAAGTGCGAGTCGTCACGCTGGGCCAGCATGTTCAAGTAGTCCCGATGCGTCAATTGAGTTTTCACCTCGATCACCTGGCCGCATATCTTCGGCCGACGAATCGTGTGGATGTACGACCAGTGACCTTGAAGCAAATCGCATTGAAGTCGCGTCGCTAATCGAATCTTCTCGCGACGCAGAGAAGACGCGGAAACAGATAATTCGTCGTTGAAAGGATTTTCGAAACTTCCTTCCTCTCGCCATACCTTTCTGGCCGCGTTTGCGTAGGCGCGCCTGCATCTTGGGATTGTTACTTTGGAGATAGTTGTGCACGACGTCGAAGTCTTGGAAGGGCGGGAACTCACTGTCCGCCGGCAGCGGCGCCTTCACGAGGAACTTAACCTTGCGGCTGCTGGCGCGCAATCGATCGCCCGTGTCGATGCCCAGCTTCTGGCACACGCACTCGATCATCCGGCAGATCTTGGTCTCGAAGTCCTGCGAGTTGTCGATCACGTCGAAGTACGGATGGCCGACCCAGGCGGCCGCGGCCTTGTAATCCAGCTCGCGGGCGAGCTCGACGCCCTCCGAGCGGCACACGTGCTCGTCCGTCGAGTAGAAGTCCTCGGCCCCGTTCGCCGCGGAGACCATGTGGATTATTTGATTGTACCTGATCGACATGCGAGAGATGATGCAAACGCGCGGCTTCTCGATTTTTTTTCGATTTTTTTCTAATTTGATTTCCTCGAAAAAAAGTACACAACGTCGATCTTTCTCTGTGTAATTAATTTTACCTGTTGTCTCGCAGCTCAACGTTGTTCCAGCCATTGGAAGCCATCATCAGTTCCCACTTGTCTTTCGAGATGACTGAAAAGGATCCATTATTAACGCTTTGTCGATGAGAAACGAAGCTAATTTGATTAATTTAAGATATTACAATTTTTCGGCTCGAATTATTCAATATAAATTATTACAAACAAGCTGCAGAGCCAGAACTAGTTAAACATGCTCAGTTTATTACTTTTTATCATAATAAACAATAGACGTTTCGACCATTAGTGGTCATCTTCAGTACATGATTAAAAACAGTCTTATAGAATCCTATTACGAGAAATTCATCCCTTAAAATCGTTTCTTTTGAATAACATTTGAACGATGGTTGAAAACACTAATTTGATTATCTTGAAACTCACAAGCGGAGGCGTCCATCGCGCCACGATCACAGATAATCAGGCAATTCCTCGAGCAGCTCTCACCTAATTGGAAAAAAGTGTTCTCTATTTGTATCATCGTGCGCAGGAGATTCTCTTGAAATTTGAATGCTGCAACACACGCGTGAGAGAAAATGCGACATTACACAACGATAAATTCTCACTTATCTTAGTGTTATCCGGGAGGGGAGGGTTTTCGGGTGCGGATTTAAACGGCACTTAAAGCGCTAGCCTGAATAGATTTATCTTGACAAACGGGCGGATACGGTCTCAAGCTCCAAGGAAAACCTAGCTCGGTAAACATGTTGAAAATTACAATACAATGCAATACAGTACGTCGGTGAGTTCTAGAGTGTTTTAAGACCGAGACACATAAAAAATAAGGAAGAAAATAAAACGGTAACTACAAGAAGCGACTAATAAATAGGATCTGATTAAGGAATAAGAGAAAAAAAATGTACTCGATACTACGAATTGATTTATAAGAAATCAGTGAAAGAAAGAAGTTAATGCAAGTGTATAATTTTTATCTAGTAACACATTATGTCTGTTCAATTGTTGAAAAAAATTTATAATAATTAAAATAATTTTAGCGTGTTAAACAATCTTTTTTTAAAGCGTACTTCGATATATTGAAGCTTTTTAATCATCAACTGTGCATTATTGATAAATTAGCGCAAAACAATTTGCGATTTGACAGATTTCTTGAAATCTTTTATCATATCTCGGGCCTCATTCTAGCGATAACTCACCCACGCCGGAATCAACCTCCAGAATTTCCGGCCATCTCGCCTCGCTCTCGCAAGAAGCTTCGCTCCTACGAACTGGACGCAAAGATTTCGCGATGCAAAAGATATTCCGCTAGAATGGATCTTTGGCGCACTTTGTCGTCGAGCAGTCCGGAAACTCTCGAGTCGAAAAAATGTCACGTTTCTCACTGTTGCGCACGGCAATCGAATCGCGAACAAAAATGTCAGGTTTCCCCTTAAAATAACTACACAAATTCGAAGAAATTCGTGAAACTTCGTCGAGAATTTGCGATATTTATTTTTACCAATATAGTACTCATTTTTCCAAACAGGATTACAAGAGATTTACGAATCAGTGAATGTATACCAGAGTCATCCTGAGATTCTAATTCCGCCGATGATGACGAAAAGTAACAAAAGTATGCGAGCCGCGCATTATCGCATTTCACAAGCGTCATCGATTTTTTCCCCCCAACTTGGCGACTGCATCTCCACAAAAGAATAACAGGATGGTAAACGATGAGAAGCGATAATAAATCGACGGATTTAGCTCGATTGGTCCTTCGGCTTGCGATAAACGCAAACATTAATCTGCTCAATTAACTATGAGCCGCGAAAAGCCGAGAACTTTTCTTTAAAAGTGTTAATATGTAATAATCCAAGTATCGCGAAAGCTGGAACTTTTGTTTGCAAGACAAATGTATCATTTTTACATAATACATGTCATCCTTGAGGATGACGTGTGAGAGTGTTTCATAAAATTGTCATTTTCGAAATAATATATTTTGCAATATTCGCAACGGTAAATGTATGCATAAAAATAAGCGCAGGGAAGCCTGACATTCGTGTTTATTCGTATCCGTTCAAGGGCGAGCTGATTAAAGCCGCGCGATCGTCTTACGTAAAGACTGAATAAAAATGCGAGCGATTGTTTCGCGAACGATGAGCGCTCGCGTAACCAAATGTTATTTTAACTCGAAAACCCTTTCAGTCTCTGCGTACAATAAGTACTCCGTGTAAAAACGTTTTAAGAACTCTCAGCGTCGTGATAAAAAATCGATGAAACGAAAAAAAAAGAGTCGAGAAAAAAATATTCGGCGACTGAATAGAATATTCTCTTGGCGCGAGTGTCAAGTTATTCGAAGAAAAGATGGTAGCGAGAATATTAAAAATAAAACCGGCACAAGAGTGCAAAACTCTTTAAAGCTCTTTTTAATAATTAATGTTAAAAAAGAGGAAATAAAATGGTGATAATAAAATTTCACCTAATCAGAGCGCGAATAAAATCTTATGCGCGACACATCACGAGAGGCCAAGCTTAGCAGAAGCCAAGAATTTTGACGTTACGCAATCGGATGTTATTGTGCTGTGCGCAAGCAGCTTGCGCGGTCCTCGAAAAGTGACATTATAATCGCTCTAGATGTAAAAAGGCATTTATTTTATAAAAGCGTTCCGTGAAACTGAAAACTTTCCGACATTTCCGTAAACAACACAAGAGATCGAGCTGGTTTTCTTTTTTCGCCATCACCGAATTAAAATGTACAAAGCTTTCTTCCGGTTGTCAAGCTCTCAGAACTTTTCCACCCGATGTTCGCGCTCACGATTGCAACGGTTGACGCAATCCGTTGCGTTTCCGGCGCAATATTTACGTGCTCTATTCGAGGTCGACGAGAAATAATGACACCTTGTCTCTCACGTTTACTTGGAAACGCAAGAGACGACGGATCGATAGAGAAATGGGAAAATCCAAACATTGCGTTAATAAAATGTTAATTTCCATCAGCACTTCAGGATCTGGCCATCAGGATATTAAATGTCCCAGGATCGTCGCCGATTGATCAGTTAAATTTTCTTTCCGTTGTTTATCACGCCGAGCGATTTCACAAGCGACTTCAACTCGCTTCGCGACGAGAATAGAAAATTATTTTTATGAGAACGCGCCTATCGATCTTCTTTTAATTTTTGTATACCTGTGCCAGTAGAAATTAAAATTATATTCTATTCCTTCGATCCTTGCTTTGCACTCATTGGACCGTTATTGGAGGGAAAATTGCTTCTTTTTCTGTTCATTGGAACATTATTTTCGATACTTAAATGTCAATCCTTTCGGAATGGGAGCTTTCGAAACAAAATAACTTGTACAAGATTTTGTTTTCCAAGAGAATTCAAAATAGCGAATCCAATATGGCGGATCAAATTTCAAAAATTAGTCCGATTATAGTGAAACTCGGTTTTCGAAATCGCTGAACCCAAGTGTCACTTTAGAATTTCGAAATTCTATTAATTATATCGAGCTACCTCAAAAAACGACCTAAAATCGAGTTTCATGATAATTCGACTATTTAAAAAAAATTCGTTCCACCATATAATCGCCATTTTGAATTTCGAAAGTCTAAGAAACCTTGGAAACTCCACAAAACCGAGTTTCAATCCGATTATTTTTGTCGAAATTTGGTCCGTTATATTAGTTCCGTCATTTTGAATCTCAGATTTGAGCAAAGCGTCAACAGATACCCTAAAAAATAAAAGCGAGTGTCCGTCCGAAAAGAATTAAATTGCTGAACAATTTCGCGGCAAATAACACTTGAATCACGGTTTCAACGCGTAATAAACGTATGTGAGCTATTGAGAGTCGAAAGTCCCGCGAAAGTGTAGGGAAGGAGGATGCAACAGCGATCTGCACAGACTTACCCTCTTCGGCGTTCAGGTCTGAAAACTTGATGCCGCCGCTGAAATGGAAAAAAGCAAACAACAAATATGAGACGATTGCATATAGAAGACGCGCGCTGTAACGCGTGAGTTTATATTAATCGAGTTTAATCGAACGTTTGCCACGCGATGACGCTAGCACGGTATTGGCTGTCTTCGTGGCTGCAATTGCAGCAGCGACAAAGGAGCTTCCATTGCGCGCACTGCCGCATCGCAAATTGTCTCTAATGTTTTTTAAACGTCTCACTGTCAACGCTACATCGGTATTCCTCGATTGTTTGATCGATAAAATTAGTAATCAATGAAAGAACGCGTGCACACGACGCAACGAAAGTTGAAGGCACGCATTCAGAATGCACTTCATCAGCCGAAAACTGCGGCGAGATTTCGACTGTGTCGGCGCGCAAATATCGTTGTAAGCGCATTCCGAATACGTCAAACTTGCATTGTAAGTGCGATGAAATCTTAGCCGACCGCGCAGAAAGGGACGAGTGATGATCGCGTTGATCGAGTTGCGTGCTCTGTCCTGTTTTACGAAAGAGAAATAAGTGAAATATATTCAATTGAGCGAAATATATTTTCCTCTCTTTTCGACACTGTTTCGCGATACTTCTGCGCATTTTCATCGGTCGAAAGAGTGCACTCTCGGATTGATACGAAAAGGAGAACCGTAATCGTCCGAGCGTGACTCTCGTATCGACCCTTTTTTTTTTTGCTTTTTCTTCTTTTTTTTTTGTTTTGTTAAGTTTGTGATCGTATAATTGCATACCTGAGCAGCACGGTCGCTGTCTCGGGGACACGGAACACCTGAAAAAGAAGACAACCACCGCTCTATCGAATCCAGAACGAAGGGTGGGAGCACCCCGAGACTAATTCGCGTTTTTTTTTCATTTTCCTCTCTACTCGAAATTTTTCTTGAGCCGTGGAGCTCAATTCGCAGCAAGCCGCGAGTTTACAATTACATCTCGATGATTACTGATGTAAATATATTTTCTTTAAAAACTAATATATAAGTAAATATATATATATATACATCAAGAATGAGATTTTACACAGTTCAATAATTTTCTTTTTAAGTATCTTGTACGCTCACTGTACAACTTATGATCTGAGAGAAAGAGAAAGAGAGAGAGAGAGAGAGAGAGAGAGAGAGAGAGAGAGAAATAGTTGGAGAGAAAAAAAAGAAAAAGAGAGCCGCGGGAAAAAGCCAAGGCATGCCGTAATTTTATCCGTGATTCGAATTGGCGACAATTAAACGATTTCTTGAAGGATACAGTGCACTTTACGCAAAATAATAATCATCCTCGCGGTTGTGTTACTGAAAAACAATGCTGTGCAAATTCAGGCGTTATAAAGGCGTATCTGATCAAATCCGAGTCTCGATTCATGAAATCGAGCGTGTGCTGCACGAAGAGAAAAGCGAATTAAGGAAAACTCTCGACGAATATGTCGGTTCCCTCTCTTTCTTCCTTTGCGAAGAGCTCTCTTGTGACAAAATTCCAAGGATTCTGCCTACCTTCCAGCCCATGTTCTCGAAGAAGGTGCACAGCCTGGTCTGCCCGGTCGTTTTGCCGCCGCACGGTCCTGCAATCACAAGCGGGCATGAATAATTCGTTCTCCCATTTTTCGCATCGCGAAATTGCGGATTGAAATCGAAATGTGCGTCGGATATTGCTGCGTAACGAAACTTCTGCCCCGCGATACCCTGCTATCTCCTCCTCCGCTCTTTTATCGCATACGTTTTAATAAACGACGGCCGTGCGAAACGATAGACGGCAATGAGAGATAAATTGAATGTAATTGGCGCGCGCCGACACCGGCTGTTAACCCGACGCGCGACGTAAGAGAGTCACAATAGCGAGAATGAATTAGCCGTTTGGTCCTGGTGACGAGGCTTCGAAATAAATTGGACGATTGTGTCACGTGTCGAGCTTCGAGTTTCTCTCCTTGTGCCAGATCGCATCAGAAGATAGCTTCGCCCGCCAAAAGATAACACGTCACTAACGATAAACCGACACCAGAACGCAATAGAATCGAGGAAAAGTAATGCGCCGTCGATGAGTAATTGACTTCCGGTGTCTGATTCTCGAGAAAAAGAGGATAGATTATTGGGGTGAAACGGGAAGAAAATAACCATGACTCAGGCGAAACGAATGCCCGAATGACGTCTAAAAAAACGATCACGGGGTCGGTTCTTGCGTATTCCAAACATTGAACAAGCCAATAACGTCTGAGTCTTGTAACAAAATTAGAGAAAAGTACGATAAAAGTGCGAAGAGTTGCAATTTTTCTGTTTCAATCATTTTATCGACAAAATAATTCGAATTTTACTCGAAAATACTAAAAAAAACCACTATAATTTTCAACATCACATGCGTATTTATGAAAATTGTCGCCGATCTTTTTGCACTCCCCCGATTTTGTCCAGGAAAATAATACATACAATTTTACGATACGCTGGTTCCTTTTTCGCGCGCCACCCGATATAACGGCCGCGTGTGTCCCTGCATACCGCGTGGAATCGATCGACACCCGCGTGGACTGCGATACGTCGCAAAACGCGAGGGAAACGGCAGAATTCGCACATTGCTACGCAACGTACGCGTCCCGTTTAATCCGGGAGATCGTGCCGCGAAAGGGAAGACGAGCGGTGGTTGGCGCACCACGTGCTCGTTACGTCGAGCGAGATGAACGCCTGCAAAACATGTTCTCGCGCAAAGTAGAATTCCAATCTGTTTTCTCGTGTTCGTAATCGCGAGCACGAATGCTGTAAGAGTGATCACCGGCGGTCGCTTGACGCGCAAATTTCCTTCCTGTAGCGAAAGGTTTTAAAGAGAAGCCTGCTTCGGCCACGTGCCTGTTACATAAACACAAAAAACGAAAAGGAAAATGACATAATTCTAAAAGTGCCTTCCGATAAAGCGCGTACTGATACCGCGATGTAATCTCGCTAAAGTACTTGCTTTTTCATTTTTTTTTTTCACCGCGACTTGATTAGTGGATATCGAAGAGATTTGAAATCATCGTGATTGCGCGCTTTTTTGTCGAACCAATCTTTGCACTTTATTATTGCATATATTTCTAAACAGATGTAATTGCAACTGGTTTCCGTTGAATCAAAATTTACGCAAAAATAATCCTTAACTGCGACAATTGAAACGCTTTATCCTGAATATTGCGTGAATCGATTTATTTAATCGAATATATAAATCTTTAAACTATTTTACGAAGACATTTACAAACAAATATATGCAATACCATTACCGATTTTATTTTAAACTTATTTTCTCCGTCTAAACCGAAGCTACAAAATTATTAAAAAAGACAATCAATGTTGATACACTTTCTCCCCCTCCTCTCTCTCTCTCGCTCTCTCTTGCAGCATATTTACCCCTACGAGCTACGTGCTCTTTCGCTCCAAGTATCTCCAAGTAACATCCGAAAATCCAGCCGAAATGGACTTGACGAATTACGCGCTCGTTCTATTCTCGCTTCAAGAAGCTTATGCAAATAACATGAGAAAGAATACATTACGTACCTCCGGTCAGCACAAGCTTGTACACGCGTTTTTGATCCATCGCGCGGTTCTATTTCCGCTCCGAGCTGAATACGTCGCGAATCCTCCGCTTCTCAACGATGACACGCCGTACTTCTCCGAGGGAGGTTTCCGGCCAGGTGATGCGCGAACGAGTGTGCGAAACTCCGAGACGGCGATACTCAGCACTACATAAATGTCTGGTGGTGCCCCTCGAGTCGGCGCGTACTCGGCCGCGTGCTTGGACGATGCATGGAAACGATGACGACGAAAGTGCTGTCGAGGAAATCGATGATCGACACCGCCTGACTCACGATCCTCCTCTTTCACGGGCGTCTGTCCCTCCCAGACGGGAAGATATACGGTGTCACGATTTTCGCGCGAGTCAACGCAACAAAACGTGATACATTCACCTCGCTTGGTTGTTCGGGAGCCTCTGAAGACGTGAGTTCCGCAGCTGGTCGCAACGAGTCGCGCCAAGTCACGTGCGCTTCCCCCGAACCGGAAACGACACCGACGACGGCGGAGCACCAAATTCAAATCTGCCCTTCCGTTGTCGTGAGCGAAAAAAAAAAATCGCAAATCGACAATTGTCAATCGCGAAAACAATCTTCGCAATTTTCGCGTCAGTGCTTCTCGCGAAAAAGTTGAATCTTTCTCCGCACAATTTTCTACGGTGCTCCACATTCGTGATATCTGAAGTTAGGCCATAGTGTGCAATTAATAGGCGTCATCTAGCGTTAGCGTAACTAAATTTCGGCTACTCAATGTCGCGCTATGTTACCGCTAGATGCTATCCGCCAACTGCATCTTAGCGCGATTCGAGTAAAATCGCACGTATTATTGTACGCGTTGTCTAATGGAAAAATGTCAATGTAAGGAATGACATGGCTGCGCCAAATCTATTTTCCTTGTATCTATGACATCTCGAGATTTCCTCAATTTCTGCCACAATTGCACAATTTTTGAACATGTTGCGTTTGCAAATTTTGTTAAACTTCTACCAGATCTTTGCCAACTTTACGTCGTTATAAATAGAGCAAATTCTGTATTTTAGTTCTGTTCTTCTATTAAAAAAAAAAACTTTCTGCAAATATTTTGCAAAAATTATTCTCGATAAACTTGGCTGTTCTCAATGAGATTACATGAATGTATTTAAAAATCTTTTAGAGAATTTTCCCAAAAGTATATTTATAGTTTTGTCCGTCACAATTACGATTCTCGTCAAGCTAATGTCACTTTTTTTTATATTCACAATATGAAAAGTGGAACTTACCAAAATAACGTCGCTTTCGATCCGCATCTATAAGCGAAGAAGTATATCAGCGCACCAATTTCTTCGCTCAAAATTAGAGAATTATCTGCGACAGTTGTTGTCTTTATATGACTGTTGTATGCATCTCCCCACATCGTCAATGTTCAAACTTTGGAAAATACCTGGATGGAAAAAAGTAGCATTTTTATCGCTTCGGTTCGTGCAACTGCAATAAAAGTGTTGTCCTTGCAGATAGCACGTTTATTTTGACCTTCTCTGAAATAATACGAAAGTATGAAATACATTTAAGAGTGAAACATTCTTTTCATGTACTTTTTTTCTTTTTTGTTAAATTATACCATTAACAGTGGCAATGTGTAAACGAACATTTTGCGATTTTTGAATAACTCTTTACGTTTACTTGACAAATACGTGTGCATGATTAATGTTTACTGACAAAAATCGATAAAAAATATTGGTTTCTGCTCAATTTTCTTTTGAAAAGCCTCGAAGATTGTAACTAAACATTATCCTACCTTAAAAAGGCAGATGTTGTTGACTTTTGAAGCCTCTTGTCATCGCGTTATCGATCGGTTTGACTATCGCGAAGTTTGTATTGATGATTTTGTTTATTATCAATCATTGTTGGTATAGAGATGATTGCGTTTGACAGCTTTATTTTAACAGCTGTTTGACAAGTTTAAAGTGTTTAAACAGATACAATTAAACGGATACAAAAAGAAAAAAAGACGCGCGTGTATGTCCTAGTTTGTTTAAAAAAGTGTCAATTGTCCTTTTCTTTCTGCTTAACTAGATCGCCTTTATATTCTTTCTTGTTATCTCTTTAGAATTTCTTTGCTGAAAGATTTAGAAAATATGTAATGTGAATGTAACTCGAATCCGTGGAAAATTGAAGCTTGAAATGAAGGAAGAAAAGGGAGAAATTTGATTTCTCTGTATTTCATTTTCTTATCTTTATATTTACAATCATTCTATTAATTAATTTGCTAATGTAAAATTAATATCTTAAGTAAACAGCACCAAGAATCATAATTACAATGCATATTATACTGCTCGATATAATTTAAGAATTATTCATCATAAAGTCAAACCCTATTCGCAAATGGAGCAATCGATCAAAATTTGAATAAAATGAAAAAATGATAATAAGATAAACGAGAGCGAGCAAAATTTTAACCTAAATAAAAAAGTTGATCTAGTTGTAAGTACTACGTTTTTCGAGAGATAAATAACAAAACGAAAAAAAAACACCATATATCTCTTTGAAAATTTCTATAGAACAAATCAAACGTTTTCTAGAACATCAAATTTACATAATATTCGGCATTTCAAGAAATAACTTTTACTTATTTTGAACATTATATTATGATAACAAATTTGCAATTGACGAGTAAAACATCAGTCTCACATAAAAAATATTCGCATAAATAGTTTCTATACAGTAATTGTGAAACATACTCCGTGTGTAATATTTTAATAGAGAATTCGCTGATACGTTGATCCTAAAGAGCCTTCAACTTAATTCAGAATTCATTAATTTGAATTTTGTATTTGCACAGCAACGTTTCAAGTTATATATTACGTAATTGCTTTTAGTGTATAATCTGAGTAGAATTCTATTTAAAAAAAGCAGCAAAAATTTTTTTAAGTTGATTCTACATCAATACAATAAATATATACATGCAAACAAGATACCTGATAATAAGACACATTTTTTTTTGCTGAAATATACTTAAAAATGAACCATTCTGTCCGCTATACATTTATGTTTGTAATCTTTGATCACTTTTTGATTTTTAGATATTCGAGAAAAGATAGTGGAGAAGCAATTAGGATTCTTATTCTTAGATTCTAATTTGTTTAACAATTTGGCGAGTGTCATAATCAGTAGGCACTGCAGATAAATATTCATAAAACACGAACAGCCTCATTGAGACAAAGTGTACTATTAACATCATTCTTTAATATTCACATTTGTCGTATTCAAATACTCAGAAATATTTTATTGCTGCGCAGTGAATCAACAACTTTGAATAATTCCAATCTCCTTACAAATAAATATACAAGTGAATATAATAATACCGAAATACAGCTTTCGTAAAGATAGAATAAATATATAGTATAATTCTGAATATGTTAATAATGATTTGCAATATACCTTTATATAAATTAATATATTAAAATATGTATAATATATATATAATTTCATATTTTAATATATTAATTTATAAATTCACTATTATTTGTACATTTTGGACAAAGATAATTCTGCTCAGCGTACTATTAAATATCTGGAAAATAGCATATCTTGACTTTAACATTTACATTTTAATGTTGTGCATAGGATAAATATTGAATTGCCAACAAGAGAGGGAGAAAAGTTCATTATTTCATATCATTGTGTATAATTATAACAAATAAATAAAATAACAACCAAGTAAAGTGATTGTAGAACTCTTTTGTTTTTGTATATAGTATTTAACATAATAAATAAAATTACAAAAAAAGATACCAGCTGAAAATCACAAAAAAAATATATATAAATAACGATCGAAGCTGATTGTGTGTTTCAAAGTGCGTAGAGCGAGTTCTTCGAGAATTTGAATATTTGGGAGCACTGGAGAAAGCGATCTTGTAGTAATTCACGAGTTGTAAGAATCGAGTGTCCGCACGAATTTCGAGGGTATTCCGATATGAAGTAACTTGTCCGGTGAGCTGTCTTTCAAAGACGGATAATAACAATTCAACGCTTGCCAGCAAATATCAGATAATTTGGGGATTGTCAACCAGGCAGAGTAAACTGCGTTCGTCCTGTGCATCTGTAACAATTAAATCAAAGATTAACAATAATGCACATTTCATAAAATTGAACGCACTTAAATGAGACACTCGCAAAATATCGTCATTTGAAATGTCATGATAATAACCTTCTCATTAATTTTGACTATACCGCCAAATATGTACATGCGACCCTCTGGAGTCAGCGCCGCTGAGTGGAAGTACACCGGATTCGGTAGAATACATTCCCTCAGTAACGTCCACTGTAGCGTACCAAGGTCCAGCCGCCAAACATCAGAATACACCCAGTCGCCGTTATAACCGCCTGATATGACAACTGATGTGACGCCACTCTTCTCGTCAGTATATTGCACGGAACCGTGACAGCGTCGCGGTGCTGGTACCATGGTTTCATTGACAATGTCGTTGCGATAAAATTTATCGCCGTGTGTGGTTAATGTTCTCCAACTGTTGGTCTTTAGATCAAATGCTGGTATTTCCTAAAAAAAAATTTATCACAAATATAAAAACAGAAATTATTGTGTGTCTATGTATTATGTACCCTTAATATACAGAATCAAAATTAGAAAAAAGCTGTGCGAAATGTTTGTTCAATAGAAAGTAAACTGTACCGAGAAGCCAAAGGCTTCCGTCGAAGTGCCACCACCAAGAACGTAGATCATCTTGCCATCAAAGGCAAGCTCATGCCTGTATCTTCCATACGGTTCACATTCATCCTTGCCTGTGCAAATGTACACCGTCTCCCAAACGCCCTTTCTCAAGTCGAGTCGATGAATATCACAAGTATACTCGTAGCCGGTGGTGCCACCAACTGTGTAGAGATAAGGACTTTGGCATATCAAAGCCTGCGAAAATATAAATGCGAACGAATAAAAGATAAAGACAAAGTGTAAATAGGTAAAAATAAACAACTACCTGTCCATATTGAGGCTCAGGCAGCTCACCCACGGCTGGTACAATCTTTATCGTACCGTTGTCAACGTTGCAGACATACAACTGATTGCTACAACTCTCACCAAAGGGCACGCCGGTGCCGCCGTACACCAACAGCGCCTTGCCAAGCAATATCACTGCGTTTGATGCCAACTCGTTCGGCATGTCCTGCTGACCGGGCAACCTTTTCCAACGTTCAGTCACCAAATTAAAGCGCCATAATTCCTTGAACAACGGCTTGCTCGTAACCCATGTTTGATCATCAAGCATGTCCGGATCGGTTTCAGGCACGCAAGGATTAAACCCACCATACGAGTACAGATTCCGATAGTCACACGCGATTCGATGACCGCTTCGTGCTTTCGGACGTTCCGGCCCATTCGGTTTATGTTTGGTGAATACAAACGGTTTAAATGTGTACATGTTTCTCCGTCGCCTTCTTACTCTGAGTTCAGCTACTTCGTCGCCGTCACGACGAAAAATGACGATGCAAACACGAGCAAACTGAGGTTAGAGTTCGGTTATATATCCTTTCTTGGCGAAGCTGTTCCATGCGCCATTCCTAACCTTGAAAACGGTTATCTCCACTTTAGCGAAATTCGTTTCTCTGATACAACACTTGCGAATGGTTTCTTTGGATATTTTTAGGTGAAAAGTTCCCAGTTATTTCATATATGTACAGAAAATTTACAGGCATATTTTTCCTTCTCTCAACGAATGTGGCTGCGATGGAATACTTGAACAAAATCGTAGTGCGGTCGAAAATTAATCCATCGAGATGCTTATCTTCGGATTAATACACACGCAACAACAAAATGATATCCTTTGACAATTTGTTATCAATCTTTACAGCTAACTGTGATAACATATAGAGACTAGAAACCTATATAGGGTGCCTTCACTTTAGGGTATATTCAGACTTGTATAGTGCAAAAGCAGGGTTGATTGGTTTATAAAAAAAAATGCATGAGGAAATGGACCAATCCAATTCCTTGTGCATATGCTTGTCGCAAGTTCGTTTGGATAAACCCTCATCCCTTGCCTATTTACTGATCATACTGTAGTTATGCTTATATTTCTTCAGCGTGTATATGTTATCATGCTTATTGGTTTATTTTAATATTCCAGGTTTAATTGTGTGTGCAGGATCGTATTGCAAAAAATTTCACAAGTATTATAAAAAATGAGAGAGATTCTTCTTACAAATTGCGAGCGAAACTTTGTAAACAAATGCATAGAAGAAAAAACAGTAAGTATAATAATTATATGTATTAAAAATCTTTTTTTAATGCAAACTTACTGGCAGTTTAATTGATAAATATATTTGTATATTTTTTAATTCATACAGTTATTATAATTTATATACATTTTAGAATATATTGAATTTATTTTTTGTGAATTATCTTACTTATAAGTTTAATAAATATAAATATGATGATAAATTTGTTGTATTTTTGCAGAGATTAGATGGTCGAAGATTATTAGAGCCACGACCAATAAAGATTTATTTTGGCTCCAACTGGGGATGCTGCATAGTATCTCTGGGAAACACAAAGTAAACATTTTAACAATATATGGATTAACTTTAATGTATATATACACTGCATAACATTGAGAAGAATCTTTTTGCAGAGCAGTAGCACAAGTATCATGTGACATACAACAGCCAAAATTTTCTCGTCCTAACGAAGGTACAATACGTATAAATGTCGAATTAACTCCATTGGCAGCTCAACACTTTGAGAGTAGTAGACAATCTGAAGCTTCCATACTGATCAGTAGGCAATTGGAAAAGTGTTTCAAGGATTCAAAATGTGTGGACTTGGAATCTCTCTGTATTGAAGCAGATAAGAAGGTCACTAGAATATTCGATATTTTTAACTATTGCATTATAATGTGTGTGTAGCAATTTGTTTACGTACATATTTATTCATTTAGGTGTGGAACTTGAGAATTGATATCAATATCATAAATCATGATGGGAATCTGATTGATTGTGCTTCCATAGCGACACTTGCTGCTCTCATGCATTTTCATCGGCCGGATGTCACTTCCACCGGCGAGGAAGTTATTATACATTCAGCTTCTGAGAAAGACTTTCTTCCACTGACATTGTTTCATTACCCAATTTCCGTATCTTTCATAACTTTTGAATGGTAAACCAGCCATTTATTTTTCACATTTTTACTTGCAAAATATTTAGTACTAAAAATTTATTACAAAATTCAACATTCTTTTAAATACTCTAGACACAAAAACAAAAAATTTTTATAAATTTTACAGTGGCAATACCATAATGGACCCCACATACATAGAAGAAAGAGTCGGCGTTGCTCAGCTCACTCTCGGGATGAACTCTTATAGAGAACTTTGCAGTTTACATTTCGATTATTTAACGAAAACTATGATAGTCGAGGACGTCATATCTGCTGTTTCTAACGACGCGGCGAATTATGCCGCCACGTTGGTGCAGCAAATTAAGGAAGCAGTAATGCAGGATGTGCAAGCACGGTATAATTGCTTAAAAAAATTCACTGCCTTTATGTAAACTTATTTTTCATGTAAATGTAACTTAAACACGTAATGCAATCCAAAAATTTTCGCATTGATGCCAGAAATAACAGCAGACTTTACGTATATTTGCAATTCTGTTTGATAAACTATCTTTTAGTTATTTTAAATGACAAGAAAAAGAAGTTGATTTAGTGATTGCACTTTAAAATGTGTTCTGTATTTCAGGTACAAAAAAGATAACAACAACATATGTAGATTTAAAGAGAGCATTCAAATGAATAAGCTCACAACAAAGATTGGTGATCATATTAATATCAAATTGCAAAATAGACGGGATGCATCAACTATTAGCGAAGGTATCATTAGAGCCAAGCTTAATTTTTTGCATTGTTAATTTTAATTTTGTTAAATTAGAAACATTTTAATTAAAAAATTGAATTAAAACTAATAATTAAAGTTTACTATTAATTATTTTTCACTTTAACTTGCTTTTATGTGTAACATTTATAATGTACAATGTGAGAAAATTATATACATATTTAATTTAATGATAAAAATGCATTAGATGATGACATGGATGTCGAAGATGTCAATGACAAGAGTCATATTGTAAAGCACAAAGAGGGATCAGCTGAATTGATTGTTTTCCATGTAAGTATGAGGAAAAATGTACTTGAGATCCATTTACAATTAATCATAATTTCTTAATTATTCTTAATTGTTCTTGTAGAGTTCACCCGAGAAAGAAGAAGTTGATCCTAGCAATACGTACGAGTCTGAGTCGGATAATTCATCTCATTAATTTATTGACTCCATAAAGAAAAAGTATAATAATTTAATGTGATATAGATGGAATATTGATGTACATTTCGAAGAAAACAAGAAAATAGAAACCAATATAGTCCGATGATGCTGAAAAACAAATGAATGACAGTTAATAAAATGAAATGCTTTGTAATAATTTCCTTTTTCATAATTCTAATTCAAGTAGCAAATTAATCAGAATCATATCTTTCTACATTTTTAAGGATGGAGACGGCAATTAAACTTACGCAGCAACATGAGAAAAGTATAAGATGCGTCTGGAAATCGACTATAAACTAGTTTTTATTTCACAGCTTTTTGATACACTTTTCTAAAATCACACACCAATTGCCTTGATCATAGTAAACCTCTTTGATTGAAGCCGTGGACACTTCCGCGCACAGTTTGGCTAGCTCGCCCTCCTGAAAGACGTGGTAATATCTCAGGAAACGCTCGCCGTCCTTTTTTTTCCAAGGAACCAGCATGTCGCTGTGAGTAAAATTCGACCTGTTTTCATGAACCGGCAGCACCAAGCGATGTTCCGAGACGGTCTCACGACCGCTCTCGTCCGGATCAATTTTCTCATTTCCTTTGAGCTTCTTGCCGTACTTCAAGTAAAACGAGTCCGCGGAATCCTTGCGCTGTTCCTTCGCCCAGACATAAATCAAGCATCTCCCCGTTGGTCTTAATATTCGAACGATCTCGGAAATGGCGCGCTGTCTTCGTTCCCGAGTGGACAGATGATGTATCACCGCGATACTGATCGCCGCGTCGAAGGAATCGTCTTTGTACGGCAGGTGCAGACAGTCGCATTGGAGAACCTCGAAATCTTGCTTACGACATATGTCCGTCAGTCCTGAACTACGATCGCATCCCGTCTGGAATGAGTGTTGGGATTAAGTGTTTTAGCAGCAGCTCGTAAAGAACGATGCAAACTCGGTTGATTAATGATACTTGGAACAGTACTTTGTATATATTCCGATTTCCGCGTAGATATTTGCCGTTCCCGCAGCCGACGTCCAACAGCAACGCGCCCACGTCCAAATTTTCGAGGAACTTGGTTACATTGGGCCACTGCTTCTGTCGCGTCTCGTTAAAGTGACTAGATATTTCGTCGTAAACCTGAGAGCAATATCAGCAGATTAACAAATGAAGTGATCATTGAATTTGAGTCGCAATCTACATACTTCGTGTACGTATGAATTTTCTAATCCCGACGCCGCGTCAGCGTCGATGAAGCAAGTGGTATTGTGTTTCGCAGTGTCGCAGTACTCCTTGAAGCTGCAGTGGCAGTCACCTCGTCGTACTTTTCGGAAAGTAAAGGATACCCTGACGCCGCGCTCCTGTATCGTGGTTCCATTCTCCGTCGCAATTGTGTCACTCTGACGAGGACAGATGCCGTGTGTCCATGCGTATCTCACTTCCCCTGTCATGATTAATAACGATCTGGCTGGCAAGAACACATCTACTTTCTGAGTTTCCCTTTTGAAGTTCATGACACACGCGGAACCCAATGACAGAGACAGTATTGCGTCCTCAAAGACGCTGTGCGTGTCGATATGTGGTGGTATGCCTATTATATAAATACCATACTTATTAAAATTGCTTGCCAATCTCTGATGGAGAAAAATTTGTTAATAAAATAATAAATTAATTCAATTTAATGATTAAACCAAATTTAAGCAACAGATATAAATTGGTGTAAAATTACAAAAAAGTAGTGTCTGAATTTTTGCAAAGGAAAAAATAAATCATATCATTTACGTCATTTAAAAAATTTTAAGGTGTGTGTATATATAAAACACAGTACCTTGTCCAGGCAAATATTTGTTGATAGTCAACTGATCATATGTGTACTTATGACCATACTTGTCGAACATTGTCTGTAAAAATCTGTAGTCCTGCGGAATCGGAACAATAGGCTCGTCGGGATTCACTATATTTCTACCATATTCGAATTCATATCCAAAATGCTTCACTTGTCTATGTTTCAACTGCGATGAGACTGATTCTGCAACAGCACTCTGTTTAAGCAAAAATGATACATACTCTTTTACACCTTTATTTTAATCGCCTTTTGTATTATGACAACTTAAATGTTTTACCACATTCTTCCCAGTTGATCATTCTTAACAAAGTTTCTTCTTGCTCTTCTGTTATGAAATTCTCTATTAATACAAGACCAGGTGGAAGTGTACAGTTGAATGTATTGCTATCTATATTGGGAACTGAAAACAATAACTTTTTACTTTAAATTTAGTTCATATATTATAATACTATAACAATTATAATATTTTATACCTGTTTCAGTATAACATACATATAAGGGGCCGTTTTGACCCGGAAGTTTAATACGGCCATGAATATAATTATATATGCAAGTCGCATCTTCCTTCGAATTGCATGTTATGAAGCAATACGACTTTCCCAATGGCATTATTAAAGTATATTTGGAGATCAATGCATCTAATACAGATTGCAATGTCTCCCTTTTAATACCAGTAACCAACCCACCGTTGCATATCATCAAATGCTATATAAAATTAAACAAGATTATACAGCATTAAGTTTAATGCCCTTAAAAATTAGGTAGTATTATTACATTATAAGATATGTAGCATTTACCTGAGTAGGTTTATCAGCGCATTTAATATTCATATCCCTAAGTAATCTGTAATAAGCACGTTTTTGCTTACGCACGCTTTTTTTATCGTTTTTTTCTTTACAGTTTTCAATTTGCGTTTCATCATTTGAAGACATAATTTCCAATGCTTAAATGTATAAAGAAAATAATTTCGTGACAATTGTACTGTCTTGTCAGTTCTGAGTGAGGAAAATTAATTCCATTTTGTTGCGTCTATATTTACAGTATTCTGTGAAGAAAGAATAAAAAACGAACAAAAGAAAAATTTCTCTATGTAATATATTAATCATTCTTTTATATCATCCTGAGAAGATAAATGAAGATGAACGAACAATTTAATAATCCTTACTATTCGGCGAATAGTATTCGCTAAGAAAAACTTAAACATAAGGTCTGTTCTTTATAGCTGAACTGGCTGTACTAGTTCAGAGTTTATCTTTTTCCCTCTACATTGGAAGGAGAAAGATAAACTCTGAACTAGTGCAGCCAGTTCAGCTATAAAAAACAGACCTATAGCATGTCTTAGGGTGAATTTCCACTAAGCGCGTCACGCACGCGTCATCCGTCGCGTCACGAATTAACCAATCAAAACATCCTACGTGTGACCTGCCTCATAACAAATGCGCGCGATCTGGGATCTCATACAAAGGTTGTTTTCCAGCAAAGGACACAAGTTGACACAAATCGACACAAGTATCACTCTGTCTTTGTTTGATATTCAATGAGCAACAGAGAGAATAATACTTTTGTGTCGCTTGTGGGTGTTTACGATAATTCAAGTTCGAGTTAGTTTCACTAGGACCGACAATGAGATATACATAACCATCTAGAACCTTTATGATTCATGACAACTCAACGCTGTCTTGTATTGCTTGAGTTAAATTCATTGAATTTGTTGAGTTTAATAAATATAATTATATACATATATATATAATTATATCTATTAAAGAGGTATACCAACATACATACCAACATTATTTGTTT